AAAAAAAAAAAAAAAAAAACGGCGGAGTTGTCGCAGAAATATTCGCTCTGGAATCGGAGCATTCGCCGAATAAATTGGCGTCGGAATCGGAATAGTCGCTGGAAGGGTAACCAGAATAGTCGTCGAAATCGGAGTAGTCGTTAGAGTGATCACCAAAGCGGTAGGGGTGGTGGAGGTGAAGTGGGTTAGTCAGTTTGAAATAGAGAATGAAAAATGATTTTTAAATCGGAGGGGCCTCACTTTTTGCCCAATTAAATTTTTTTTTTATTGCTAAATGAAAAAATGGGAAAGTCATTTTTCATTCTCTACTTCAAACTGACTACAACCGCGACACAGTCTCTTTTCGACGCCGCGACTCCTCCAGTTCTTCCCTTTCCTTCACTCTATCACAATTTCACAACAACTGAGAAAAAAATCAATCAGCCATTTTTTCAACCCTAACCATACGAGTCGCGATGCCGCGAAGAGTCCCCATTCCCAGTCCTTCGGTCAGTCGACAGTTGCCACCTCCAGGCCCCAGCCAGCCTTTGACGTCTGTCTTGCCCAGTTGCCCGCCGGAAGTAACGATCCAACAGAGTAGATGTTTGAATCGTTTGATTAAAATGTATGCATATTGATTTAGGATTTTGGTTAGAATTCTATTTTTCAATTCTCATAGAATGGAATCAGGGATTTAATCTGGGAGGTTTTGACCAATTTTTGCTGTTGATTCCTCATTCATACTTATTTCGTTCCCTATGCGATTTTGTCCCAATGAAAGGTTACTTTGTGATTGATTGTTCTTTAAGTCTTGCTAATTGGTAATTTGATATTTCTTGGTTTTGCTCGTACATCATGCTTCCTAAATATGAGTTTGGAGCTCTAAAGAGAAAAAGGAAATGAAATAAAATTGCATTAAATCAAAGTTAAGGGGATATTGATAAGTAATTTAAAAGCAACAATAAGAATGCGTTGAATGAGGACGAATAATATTTAATTGGGGTTGAAACTTGAACCCCAACCTTGAGGGTCCCCCACCACCCCGCCCCTAGAGCATTGTGGAGGAGGTAAATAGCGGGATGTGCCTCATCAGGTGAGGATACAAGAACTGCCATACTGATTCCCACAAAGAGTCCGATTTCATACATTGTAAGAGGCAGAAATCGAACCCTCACACTGCGACTGATAGTTCAGTTAAGACTACCTCACTCCCGTCATTTGCACCACTGAGCTATGCCCGGGGGGGTGGACGAATATTATTTAACTGATTGTTTGAACTTTTGTTGGTTTTGTTATTTTATAATATAAATATTTTGTTCTTTATACTTATTTGTTGTTTTATTGTTAAATTTTACTTAGCAATATGTTGCATAACGCTGTTAGATTTTGCATTTACGTTGACTCTGGGGACCTAATTTATGGAGTTCGCCTCAACCCCAAAAATCACAGGACTGGCCGTGTGTGATGCCATACACAGTGAGCCTAGTTCCACTGGGTAAAGCACATTCGAGTTGATGAGAATGTATGCAATATCTAAAAGAACTCGAGCTTCTTAATTTCAAGACACATTAATGCGTTGATTAAAGATACTTCCATTCAAAAAGTTCAATATCCTTTCAATCTTGAAACCGAAGATGTCGTGCAACGATTACGTGCACAAATCATGTTTTCATATTAAAATAGCCCATATTTTGTAACAATTCTTTCAAAACTCTTTTTTTTTTAAAAAAAAAAAACTCATTTTCAATCACATATTCTCACAGTAAAATTTTTTTCGCATAAATCTAAATTTTTTTCATACTTTTTACTTGCACATTCTTAAAAATTTACTATTCAAAAACTCATTTTGTCCAAGAAAATTCCGTCAAGCAGGAAGAAAACAAAATAAAAAAATGAAAAGCAAAAGAAAAAGAAAAAGGAAAATAATAATAAAAGAAACTCTGCAAGTTATCTTCCCTAACCACATATACCAATCAAATCCCCGCCACCACACCGCCAACCCAGCAGCCATCAACAGACAAAACCCACATTTTTGCGAGCACCAGCTTCTTGAGGTTAATTAAGAAACCACACCAATTTTTTTTAGCGGGTGTTGTTATTATTCTATAGTGTTCTTTTACATTCCATTGGAGTAGAAATTTTGGAATAGATTCTAATTAATAATCCCGCAGGGATCTACTTTATTTCATTGCATAAAGGCATAGGAGATGCCAATATGAAAACTTTGGTTTCTCAGCCTCCTCTTCTTTATATACTGTAATGGCCCGCCTCTCTATTTACCTGAATCAGACATCTCCAAAAACAAACTGAAATTCTATTTTTTCGTCAATAAGGTACCTTATATTTCTCTCAATTCATTCAACAGCCTTTTTTTCGGCTTTTTGCTTTTTTCAATTCTCCTTTTGTTTGCTTTTCATTGTGCAATTGAAAGGCCATGCCTTGTCAACAAGTTATTCCCCGTGGTATAATTTATTGCCTTTTGTTCAATATAGATCTGGGGAAGTGTTTGTTTGCTCCAATGAGCTAGGGTTTATGGTCTTTGAAAATTGGTGTGGTTCAAATGGATTTGAATTCTATATGTAATCTCTGTATTCTTATACTATTCTCTGATGGAATAGTCTGAAACTAGTTCGAATTTTTGATGTGGTTGATTTTGAATGCGTGACTTCAAGATATCCGTGACAGATCCTTTCCTTTTTCCTCCGGCACTTCCTCCGGCATGGCTTTGGAATACTTGTCAGAACTCGTAGTAAAAGGAAAGAAATCCTTTTAGGACTAAGAACCTAGTCGAAAGTTCTTAACAAATACTCGCAAAAGATAATTCATTCTCAAACAGTAGCAGGGATGGAACTTCATATAGCGCTTCAAATCCAGCTAGAATCTCAGTTACTTCAACACCATCATCTCGCACTGAGTTCTTTCTTATTTTTCATTCCTTACTCAACCGCTGTCCTCTTCTTACTGCAGGGCTCAGAAAGCTGGTTAATGGGTCTTACTCAGGATATAGTCTTCAGCAGAAGACTGGGCAAAATTGATGATTTATTTATTTATTTTTTTAATGCTCTGTAACCAGTTCATATATATTTTAGCCTACACGCAGACAAAAATCCAGCCTTAACCCATTGAACTATGCACATCTAAAAGACACTAAAATGTACGCTCTGGTCACAATCTGATTAATTCAGTTTTCTTGTGGCAAGACTCCTAGAGGAAATTCTATAGCTCAGGGTTTCTTCTTAATATTTCAGAGAATTCACATCTTACGGAATTCAAGTCTTTCAAATACCATTAACCGGAATTGCTTGAGGAATTTATTTAATTTTTAATTTTTGTCATTCTTTTTTATGGGTTATCTGCTCTCATATCTAATCTACAGGTATCTTGGACTTCTAAAATAAGTTCTGCAGTGAATTTTTTTTTCCTTTGTTATCTTTTTGTAAATTGACTTGTTTAATCAATTGCTGCTCTCCTATGTGTGTGCTCTATTTTTCCTTTATGGAAAAATGATAAAATAACTATGTTGTTGATTCTTTGGAATAGCTAGATGTTCCCCCTTCTTATTAAGATTTTCTCGTTAATTAACTTTTGAAAATTCTTCTATTATTAAATAAAGATTCTTGAGTTGGAATAGGCCAAAGAATCATGCTTGGCCAACTTGTGCTTAGGAAGAAATCATTTTATAATATCTTCATTTTTGGTGAACTATTTTTAGTAATTATCTAGAGTTTAAGGCAGAAAATTGTATTTTATTTTCAGAAGGAACACTTGTAGAATTTTCTTGGTATGGGGCACAATAATAGCACACCTTTTTAATTAATCTCGGCTAAGTGGAGCATTCTAAAATACCTCGCCAACACAGTGTGTATCTCTCACTCTTTTCAATTCACATATTACATGTACAAAACTTATATGTATATAGCTGGTGGAAGTTGGTGGCTGATCCTTCCACATAAATCTAGTATGGCGGCAGAAATAAACTTGAAGCATTCTAGTTGCTTCTTCATGTGCCAACAGTTAAAGAATATTCTAGACATTAGAAAACACAATACAAATCTTATATACTCATTTTCTGTGTAATTAACTGAATAAGAATGCTAAAAACTTGATAATACAGATTAAAGTTATGGTTGCCTTGCATTATGCAACGGGCACTTTTTCACATGTTTGGGTAAATTGTTGTTTTAGAACTCTACTTTAAGAACAATCTTGTCAAGTTGTCATCATTTCAGTACTTTTGAATCTTTTTTTCTTATTTCACTTTTTAATAATGGTACGAGGCTTGGCTGAATTTATGTTCTTTTATACCTTTTTATAAATTTTCATGCAATAATTCTTCTTTTATGCATATCATTGTTTTTCTAATTCTGTCTGAAACAAATCATATGATGCTTTATTTGATTTGGCCTGAATCAGATATGCAGTTGATGGAAGCTTAAACTTTGATTTGGTCTGGTATATACACTCAAGCGTATCAATGGCAAAACCTTTAAGCAAACTCGTGTCCTGTGTCATCCTTGATTTGGATGGGACACTTCTTAACACAGGTGTGATTGTGTTTCTTTCTAGTAATACGTCACACACAATGATTTTTTTGTATAATTGTGCTTTGATTGCAGTTTCTGAAATAGTTGTTTACTCACTTATTTGGTGTTAATAGCCTATACTCTGTCTGATGAATATAATTTGTGTGATAAAATGCATTGCATTCTGAAATGAGAGATAAGACGGGGACCTCTCACTTCAGGAATGAATATAGAATAAGTATCATTTGCATGTTTATAATTGTAGCTTCAGTTTTTAATTGCTCTGCATTGCCATCTTGATACCCATCCCATCTGGTGCTGTTTGCCTCATTTCGGTGGATCATTTTACTGTAATTTGATATGTTGATAACGGACTATTGACTCTATGCTTTACATTTGGTTTTGACTACAACAAACTTTCTAGTTCTATACCACTGATGAATTTTATCCATTTTGGACCTTTCCGGGAAGTTGTTTAGATTCTGCCATCATTTTGTATGATCAAGTCTTTACGGACTTCCCTTTACTACTTTACTAAATAAATATGCATGTATATTCAGCATAGACACAATAAATGCAGATTGTCAACTATTGATTTTAGTCATACTGGACTAGTTTGTGTTTTGCTATAATTTGAATTTGATAATTTTTTCTCACACTGGCACTGATTTTGTTTTTGTTCAACTATAATGTAAATTTTATTTTATGTCAGATGGCATTGTGAGTGATGTTTTAAAATCTTACTTGGTTAAGTATGGGAAACAATGGGATGGAAGAAGAGCTCATAGAATTGTAGGAAAGACACCTTATGAAGCTTCAGCAGCTGTTGTTGAGGATTATGAGCTGCCTATTTCGACAGATGAATTTATATCAGAAATTACTCCAAGATTCTCCGAGCAGTAATTTTCTTGTGCACTAATCTCTTTCTACGTTATCATTTTGCACCATGTTTTCCCATCCCAAAAATCATATGGCACCTTGACGTTAACACGTTAGTTTCATTGTATTTGTGGCATGAGATGTATTGATTGTGAGCTTAGGAGTTTAGAAACTCATAGTATATCTTGCCCATTTTTTCTGATAACTGTATTTCTCTGGCAATGAGCATTTTATATTCAGTGATGAGAAAAATGAATATCAGGTTTCAGCAGTTCTTTTAACAGGGGAAAATATTTCTCGCTCTATATTCTATTTTTTTATGCATGGTAAAAGTAAGGGTGAAAGAAGAGAATTTGTAACTATTTGTTGTATTTTGGCATTGTGTTATATATGTAAACTATTGTTGTTGGCTTACTTTTCTTTGATGTTTTTGCTTTTCTTGCTAGTTAAAACTATGCCATCCTTTAAGCAATTGCTTCCTTGTTTTTATGTTTGTATTAGTTGGTAACATATTGTGGTTAAACATCATTTCACTTTATTTTTTTCTGAAAAAAAGTGCTTTCTTTCTCATGACGCTAGGTTGGGTTATGTCTCTTTCTGATCTTCTGTTGGCTTTAAGGACTTGGAAGTAAAGAAGAGTAGAATTCAGATTTCTTGTCTGAAGATTGCACTTCATTCCACTTTACTAATTTTATCCCTCTAATTTCTGTGGTAGGTGGTGCAATATCAAAGCTCAACCTGGTGCCAACAGGTTAATTAATCATTTGACGAGTCATGGAGTGCCAATGGCCTTGGCTTCCAATTCTCCAAGGACAAACATTGAAACCAAGATATCTTATTTTCAGGGCGGGTTTATTTAAAAATCTCAACTAATTAACACACTCTTCATAAAAAGATACTCTTCTTTACGATGTAGTTGAGAATTCTTTTTGTTTGATTAGCTTAGCTATTGACCATCATATAATTTCAATTAACAGGTTGGAAAGAATCATTTTCTTTAATTATAGGTGGCGATGAAGTCACAAGTGGAAAGCCATCACCTGAAATGTAGGATAATTAGGACCCAAAATGTCTTTTCTCGTGGATGTTTCTGTTATAAAGTCATTGAATTAATGTTCATATTCATTTGGTGTATCGATTATTGAAGATATGTTGAAGCTGCCAAAAGGCTTAACGTGAATCCTTCCAGCTGTCTTGTCATTGAAGATTCTCTGTAAGTATCTTGTTCCATGGCTTGCTGAATTTATTTCAATAAGAGGCATTCTGACAAACAACGAATTGATGATACCTGTCGTAAATGCCTTACCTGTTAAGTTCTACTGAACTCTAGTAATATTGTGAGAATGCCTTGTCGGATACAGGCCAGGGGTCACTGCTGGTAAGGCTGCTGGAATGGAAGTGGTTGCTGTCCCGTCCCTTCCTAAACAATCCCATCTTTTCACCTCGGCTGATGAGATCATCAATTCACTTCTAGATCTACGACCCGAAAAGTGGGGCTTACCTGCATTTGAAGACTGTGAGCCTCTGTTACTCTTTTTTGCTCGTTTTTAATACCGGCTATGTCCTATGCTTTGACCAAAATGAAAAAATCAGGGATAGAAGGTACTTTGCCGATAGAACCTTGGTACATTGGTGGTCCTGTCATAAAGGGCTTTGGACGTGGCTCAAAGGTGCTTGGGATCCCTACAGGTTTCTCGACTTCTACATTTCCTCAGATGGAACAAACTAATATTATTGTTGATGTGTATGCCATATTTGTATAGCACGGCTCTTAGCTAATATGCATGACTGTGTTTTACTCTTGAGCTACTTCCGTGCTCCTTTTTTTATGTGATCACAAAGCCCTGCAATTTTTCAATCTCTTGGTTTTTGTTTGATGAGTAGGTAACATATTCTAAGAAGAAGCATTTATATTTCAGCAAATTTATCAGCGGAGAGCTATTCAGCTATCCTTTCAGAACATCCTTCAGGAGTTTATTTTGGCTGGGCCAGATTACCAACTCGAGGTGTTTACAAGATGGTCATGAGCATTGGTTGGAACCCTTATTTCAACAACTCCGAGAAAACCATAGTGGGCGACGGAGATCTTTATCCCTCATTTTTTTTCCATGTTTGGCTAAGCTTAAAAAAGATAAATATTATTCATGTGTCATTACGTGTCTCGATAAGTAAGTAAAAGAAGATATTTATACCGGAAGTAACTCTATTCTTACTCACAAAATAAGTAACTTATTTTTAACACTCACCAATACAAAAAAGGTAATTCTCATCAAAACTTATTTACTTATAAGTAAACTTCTAAGCTTAGCCAAACATCATGCTCTTTATATCTTTATCCCATGTTTTTGCTTCTTATCCCATGTGATACCATAATTTCAGGAGCCATGGTTGCTTCATGATTTTAACGAGGATTTTTACGGTGAGGAATTACGGCTTGCTATTGTTGGCTATATACGACCGGAGGTATTAAAACCACTTTGTATTGAATCTTTTTTATGTCTTGTGGCATGCGTTTCTCTCGTTATTAATAGCTAGCCGTGTAATATCGTAGGCCAACTTCCCTTCCCTCGACAGCCTGGTAGCAAAGATCCACGAGGATGGGAAAATCGCGGAGAATGCTCTTGAACTTCCTCTTTATTCAAAGTACAAGGAAGACCCATATCTGAAAATCTCGTTGCCCGAAAACAGTTAATTACTTATTGCTTCTTTAGAAATTATTGGTCCATTGTGCAACTGGAATCTGATTAATTATGATCAGAACAGGGTGTATTTCATAATTCTTAATTTCAGAGACAAATTTTTGTAATGGAACTTGTTATACGTATAATTTTTCAATTTGAAATTGATATTTGCCATATTCAACAGGACAATATTGAGTCTTTATTTGACCTTAATTTCTTAAAACTCATTTTCAATCACATTTTATGAGACTCGCAAATTTTCCCAACTTTGTCATTATACATTTTAATAACTTTCATTAAAATCAACTAAAAATCTAATTTTTATCCAAGTCAAACAAGTGTTATTATCATCGTAGTGAATGTCTTGCTTGATATTGGGATTTGGAGATTCTGGGCCTGGTCTCGTTGTGTGCAAAATATTTTATTGTGTGAATGTATAGTTAAAAATGAGTATATAAATTCAAATAATGATTGTCAAACAGGAGCTAAATCAAACTTAAATCAGACTAAACTAAATTGTATATAGTACCAAACATCATAAATTACAAACATTCCCCACTTTGGAGAGTCAATACTCTTGTTCTTAGAACTAAGATGCTATTACACGACTCTTGTCATGAGAGTAATTTATTGTGATTCCTAGAACGCTTGTTTAAACCTAAAATACCTGCAAACGGGTTTATGTTATTCTTCTTCATAATAAAGTTACATTATTTAATTTCTTTAGTCATTCTTTTTCGTATTAATATTTTTCGTCTGTGGAAATTTCATAATTCCTTTCTCCTCCTATTTTGTATTTTATAAGCAATATAGGTGTATCCATGTGGGACAAGACTCGAAAACGACTCTAGTAAAATTTTATCTTAAATAAGTTTAATTCGTTGTTTCTATTTTATTTGAGAGACTAGATTAATAGAATCTTGGCAACCTGGGGGACCCACTTGGTTATATTTAATCAAGATATATGTTTTTATTGTCGTCGACAAAGTCACAAAAGACAGCTTTTAATGTAACATAGTCTCGAGTAAGTTCATGTTGCAGTAAATTTAATTGTCCAAAAATCTAACTTCCAATAGAATCCTCTTCCTGCAAAGAATTTACTTCTCAACACTCCCAAAAGAGAGAAAAAATGGGAAAAGTACTTTTACAATTCGAAATACGAAAGAGTTCATGATATAGAGCTTGTTTGGGAGGGGATTTTTTGAATAAGAATTGATTTTGAATAGTGATATGATGGGAAATGTGTGGTTGAAAAAGAAGAAAATATTATTGACGTGATGGAAAATATTATTTTATTGAAAAATGTGTAGTTGAAAATGAGAATTGATTTACTGTAAAAAAAATCAAAATTCCTCTCAAACAGGGCCATAAGTGGTCAATTTTAGTTTATCGAACTTCTACAACTTCAATTTTTTATGAATAATAAAAAATGCAACAATTGCGGACAACAAAATGGATTTAAAATGTGAATAATTGGAGCCAACAAATTCTAAGCTGTATTCTCTAGCTCAAAAGTCAACTTTATGAACAACTTGTAGATATAGTTAAAGGACTTGAAAAATAAATTGGATACATTATTTTAGAGTAGTATAGGCACATGCTTCTTAGTTGGCTTCGACAGACATTAAGTGCATGGTTTCAACGATCCAAAATTCCCATAATTAGATATACAATTACATGAATTTCTTCGTTAAATTCAATATCTTTGCTATTCTTGATAGTCTCGTTTGAGCCTCATTTTTTTTTTATATATATTAAAATGCATTTTAAAATAGTATTTTAATAGAGAATGTGTGGTTAAAAAATAAAGAAATTTTTTGACTTGCATATATAATATTGTTTTATTGAAAAACGTTTGATTAAAAATGAGAGAGAGAAAAACGTATTCTGAAAATAACGGGGACCAAACAGATATTGGCAATGAATAATGCTTTTTCAGCTAGATGTTGGCAATGAATAATGCTTTTTCTGCTAGAAAAACGTATTCTGAAAATAATGATTTTTTTTAAAAAATCATACGGCATGTTGCATCAAGCATGGTTGTATGAGCAATACAATGTGGTACTCTCTTTGTCCACCCACAGTGACGTGACCCAAAAAGTGTCAACCTCGAAATCATTGAAGTCTTGAAATGGTAGAATTAAAATGGCCGTTGAGGTTGCTTGTCTGAGAAATGACTTTGCTCGACTTGATTAATTTCAAATACCACATTAAGCTTTTCCTCATTAACTTCAGTTTGTTTGCGGTAGAAAAGGGACATTTTTTTGTTATATTAAAGATCTACACTACGGACGCTACAAAAACTACCTTTCCCATTAAACGCTCGGCTACCTAGTAAACGTTATAAAGTTAAATGCGGTATTTGTCCTTGAAATTTGGATAATTATATTACAACTACAAAATTTATTTGTTGCAGCACAATTTCAATTAATACTTTTATTTACTTAAATGGCCCCAACGAAAAAAAAACTCGTACGTTAGAACCATGCTGAAGCCCCCTGAAAACTAACCATGGCTCTAATCGGGGAAAACAGAGTGGGGGCATGAAAACGAAGATGAGGAGCGCAACGGACAGGAGATAAAGGAAGATAGCGCACATTTCCCTTGCTTGGCGGAAGAGAGAGAGCAGACGGAGCGTGGTGATGCTTTAGTTATCAACGTGTCATCAGACAACGTTATTTATTACATCAAATCAATAAAATTGGAAAGTTAGGAATTTAGAATTAACCACGTTCAAATGAAAAAATATAACGTGACTTTTTGGACGGATTTTTCGTATAAATCATATAGTAAACCACGTTTTCCTAAAAACTATTTGAATCGGGATAATAAATAACATTATTTGGTGACGTGATGACACTTAGCCCCCATTTGGACTGCATTTTAAGTTTTCATGGTATACACCTAATTACACCATAATCTCATCAAATGCAATACTCATTATTTTATAAAGTTAAAAGAGACTCACCCACCTCCAGAGAATCAACATAGTTACTACATCGATAGTTACTTGACATCAAGAACCATATTAAATAATCGATTTATAAATATTTTAAAAATTTCGAATTAAATACATTAACTCATTATATAATCAACCCATAATTTGAGCAAAAAGAAAAGGATGGCCGACCTGGTACCATAATGTCCAGTGGTTGTCTGTATATGCATTATATTTAGAGAAAATTGCAGCTACAGTACCAAACCTTTCCAATTTTCGCAGACCTGCAATTTTCCCTTATATTTTTGGGTTAGAAGGGTTGACTCTTATATTTAAGCTAACTTCTCCATTCCTTATCTAGTTACATCCATGCACAATTCTGGGGGAATATGCATGAAATAATATATTTTAGGGGCAATTTGGGAAGAGAAATAAGAGTTTTGCTCCGCTTTGAATGAGGATTCTAGGCCCAAAAAATGGATAAAATTATAGAAAACGAGAAGATGATCTACAACATTTCATTATTGTTGTGTAATATTCTTTAATGATAGAAATCACTTAAAATTCTATTGATTAGATGATGAGTTATCATATATTTGAACGTTTTCGTCTTGAATTGTGCACAACAATAATTAGAGAATAAGGATAAAAGATGAAATTGTTGTTGAAACAATAAATTTATCACATTGACAAATCTCACTCATTACGACATTGTGCATCTTTTCCGAGAATTGATGCAGACTCGTCTCACCTCAGAACCAACCTCGTCCAAGCGGGTAGCGAGTGTGGCGACATGTGCAAGTTAGGGTTTTAGCATATACCATCAAAGAAACATGTGGAGATTAATAACATGACTCCACTTGTCTCAAAACCATGCACATGTGAGTCCCACAAAATGTGATTAAAAAATAAGTTCAAACAAAAAATGAATTTTAAGAAATAGGGATCCAACATGAGTAAATGAGGTGAGTACGATATTGATAGTTTGATACTCTTGCCATCTTCCTATCAAACATGAATATAAGGTTCTAATATAAATTGTAGTAATATAAGTTTATAATACATCATTATAAATTTATTTCAAATTATTCAACCAAATAGTTATTAAAATGACGTCTTTTCATTGATTGTCGATAACATGTTGACAGCATTGGACAAAGACATATACTACAAGTTCAATCCAGAGTCTGATTCAAACTATTATAGTGAACATACATATGGTGATCTACTTGTCTTATTTAAAATTTGGGATTATATGTTTACCTTGTTAAGAATAATAGAATAAGTCTTAATGATGTTTTGCGGTTTGATATTTATTTGATTTTAGGATTTGTAGCAAGATGGTATTTAAGAATGCCAATCTTGTAATTTAAAATGTTTGTTTGAACTTTCAAAGGATTCAATTGTTCGTTTGAGCTTAATCACCTATGACATAGCGTAGAATTTATCCCTTTTAACACGTCTTGCCTAGTGCAACAAAATTTAATGACCAGTGACTGAAATTTCCAAATCGAAACACTTTCTACTAGAATTTTTCTTTTTTACTGACTATAATTTCTATCTCAATTCAATTCCATTGCAAACACACGTTACACAAATAATTGAAATGGTCAAGCATCAAAATTTAATTATCAAACCAACCATCATAATAAATGTAAAGCAGCATCAAAATTCAATCATCAAACCAACCAAACCATAATTTCAACCTTCCAAATTAAGCATTTAACATGATTTGGTACCGATAGTTTCAAATTAATGTTTTATTTAGACCCACGTGCGGAATTAACCAATTAAAAAAAATAAGTCACTTATTAATTGTTTCTAAATGATTAAGTCAAATAAACCAATTTAAACCTATGTTGAATTTCCCAGTTAATATATTGTAGAAAGTAAACAACACCAATAAATTGATTGTGGAGAAAAACCTTTCACAGATGATAAAAAAAACTTCAGGCTCAAGTAAGTAAAATTCACTATATACAAATAGACTCACAGTATAGTTGAGACATGATTAATCCTTAGTACTCTCTGACCTGCTTCCTATAATTACCAAAGTCCTCCTAGACTGCGAAC